CTTAGCGTACTGGCCTGCTAGAGAGTACGTGGGGGGTACCTGTAATTACGCTCAGCGTACTCATTCTGTTAAGACACTTTCCATTAAGCACTTAATACCCCGACTCAAGAGCCATAAACTTAGATCTAGGTCTTATTCTATTCCCTAATCCATAAAGTTGCTTGCTTTATGGCTTCCATGACTTACATAAGTCCCAACTCCAAAACCCATGTTCTAATTCCATGAAAGAAGGTCTTAACTCATGCATGAACTCATTGGGACCATAAAGATCGAAACTTTACTGCTTATGGGACTCATATGACTCTAAGGGAGGCAACCCTGGTCTTGGAAACGAGCTTAAGTCATAAAGTCTCAATCTTGGGACCAAAAAGGTCCATAAACTTGTACTAAGGAGATCTAAGAGGTTAATCATCAAGCTCAAGACTTTTTACCGTGCAGAGGTCCAAAATGAACCACTTATCCCAGATCTACAAGCTCTAGCTTCAAAGGTTCCTCCTTGCCAACCTTCTTCTCTTTGCTTCTAAGCTTTAATCCACCAAAATGGGTTCTCCAAGGTCAAGATCTCATAAAATGAAGATAGGGATGTTCTAGGGTTTCCTATGAGGTTGGGGAGGCTGATATGGGGGCTAGGGTTGGAGCTATAATGTCCTTTATATAATGCTTGTTTAAGAATTAGGGTTTTTAAGCTGTTAGCATACGCTGGGCGTAACTCCCGTACGTCGGGCGTATGCCTATAAGACCCGCGATCTTTTGCCCCTTTACGTTGGGCGTACTCAGCTAAACACACGCACCCCAACATGCATGAATCGTCTTCTATGCAAACTTTTCTCTATAAAGGCCATTCTTGCCAAATCTTCAAAGTATCATAACTCCTTCATTCTATATCCGATTCTGATGAACTTTATATCCACGGAAAGGTGACGAGAAACCCTACGTTTCTAACAACACAACCCGGCCCGAAAACTTCTCAAACAATAAATCTAAATTTAATGAAGGACTAAAATGCCCTTGGACTTAGCCTCTGAAACTCCATAAACGAATATTTTAGAACAGGGCGTTACAGAAGTCCTCACCATCATCATTGACTTACAGAACCTTCCCGTTTTCCATTAGGTTTGTCTTGAGGCAAAAATCAATTGCAATGTTTTACAGATTCCGATCGGGTAAGGGTAGGTTTTGACGATTTTGGTTGAGTGTTATGGCAGTCGATGGTGATGATAGCGGATGGTAGTAGCAGTCGGTGGTGGAAAATGGTGGTGATGGTGGCAACCATTAGTGATGATATGTTTCTTGAGTGTGTGTGTGTTTTTTCGGAGAGATGGAAAGAGAAATGGGATGGATGGGCATTTTTTTATGTTTTTAGTTAAAAAATAATAAGTAAATTAATTTATGTATTTCAGCAATTAAAAAAATATAAATTATAAGGGCATTGTTTTTTAAGTATATAGGAACCAAAACTAATAAAAAGATCCAATTTTAGACCATTTGTGCACCACCAATTTTTTTAGAATAAATCCACATAATTTTGCCAAGAACAAAGACTATTTTTGCAATTTTGTCTATTTATACTCTCAGTACTAACTAGATGTATAGATGTATCTTTATCGTGGTGTGTGTGGATATGTGTGTATAGGGCCAGGCTCGTCTAATCAGGGGTACATTAGTAATGATGTATGAATATAATCACTACAAGAAAACTAGGCATTAGAGGTAGGGCTGTCCAAATTGTACCACGGAAAACCACCCAACATGCTACCAACCGAAGTAAGAAGGTTGTTAGTCAACATATTTGGTAGCCAACATGTTTGGTTGGTAGTACCGTACCAATTGAATAATCTTGGTATGATAATGGTATAAAATTATGAATACCATGATCAAGGTTTTGAAAATCGGACCGGACATCGAACCGGCCGCCATACCGGGTCGATGGGTCAACCGGTTCAACCGATCGGACTGGTCCAAAAAACCAGATGAACCGGGTGATGTCTTTATTACATTATTATTGTATTTAAAATTTTAAAATATTCCAAAAAATATAAAAATAAACTTTAAACCAAAAATACCAACAAACATAAGTTTTCAAAATTAGATAAAAGTACCAAACATACAAAGTGCCATAAACATAATTCTCCAAATCATGATTATATTCTTAAAAAAAAAAACAAAGTTCACAACATAAACATCAAAATACCATGGTATGTATCAAAATACAAACTTCAATCACAACTTAATTTTCATCTAAAGGAATCCATATCAATTTCTTCTAATGCAACTTCATCATCATCTTCTTCATCATCTTCAATATGAAATACAAATTTAGTTTTAGGAAAACTTAGACTCAAATAGAAGAATAACAAAATATTGATAAAATAACATAAAATACTGACCTTGAGAAGCTTGGGGTTCAACCATTGTTGATTCATTGTAGTTTGGTGGTTCTTCTTCAACCATATTTTCCAATTCATTATAATTTAGTTCACCTTCTGGTATTTCATCAACCACCCAAAACTCAATTTTATCAATACTTTCATAATCGATTGGATCATAAGATTTTTTGTAATCCTTGAGCCTAGAAAAATATATTAATATGCTTTTACACATAAATAAAGAAAGTGAAAAAAGAGTTTGAAAGTATAAATTACCTATTTTGTAAACGCAAATTATAATGAACATAAACAAGATCATTAAGCCTTTGATGCTCCAACCGATTCCTTCTTTTAGTGTGGATTCTCTCAAAGACACTCCAATTCCCACACCCGGAAGAAGAAGCATTTTAGCTTAAAATTCGAACTGCAAATTTTTGCAATTCCGTAGCATCTCCACCATGTAATTTCCACCATTCATCTAATGGAAAATTACAAAAATAATATCATAATATTTTTACTACAATTCACTATTAATATTTTTACTATAATTTACTATTAATAATATTTTGAAAAAAAAAGTTACCTGAACGAGTAGTATTACGAGAAGCGAAAGCAAGTTTTCTACCAAAACTACCCTCATGCTCACGAAACAACTTTAGTTGGTCCATGAGAGTTAGACCATCCACAGTACCAGCACTACTATAATACTCAATCATATCCATAACCCCCCCCCCCCCCCAACCACCTCTGGTTTCTTAGAAAAAATTTCTTGATCATATTGAAAGACTAGATTTAACCAGTAAGCAGCAGCATGAAGACTCATATGCAACATCCTATCCCACCGATTTTTAATGATGTTAGTATACGGGGTGTACAACTCTCTATTGTTGCGAAAAAGTTTATTAATTCCTTTTTTTGCCCTATACATCCCTTTGTATACATAACCTAAAAAACATAAATTAAAATAATAAAAATGATAATATATTTGTAAACATCATTAAAAACTATATATAAAAAAATAAATTATACCTAAAGCCGGCTTCTCATCCGATTCACAAATCCGTAAGAGTCTGAGCATTGGGGTCATCACTTTTACTATGATAACACAATTATTCCAAAAGCTTTCATTCAATATGGTAAGCTTAACTTCTTTTTTCTTTTCTAATCTAATCACTTTTTTATAATCTGGGGATGTAACCATAGCTTGCAAATCATGTTTGTGATCACATAAACTCTTCAATGCAATAAATGCAGTACCAAAACGAGTGGCACCCGGACGAATAATCTCTGTCCAACCTGGTCTTTTTCTTAACCAATTTAATGGCCATTTGTGGTTATAAATAAAAACTGTAAACCTCGATGCAAGTGTAACCAAATCAGCGACTTCATGCATCTCCGACATGTCCTTCATAATCAAGTTCATGCAATGTGCTGCACAAGGAGACCAAACAATGGACGGATACTTCTCACATAACAATCTTCCTGCAGCCTTATAGTTTGTAGCATTATCAGTGACTAAATGAACGACATTTTGACAACCAACAATCTCAACAATCTCACTAAATAAGTTGCATAATGTTTGAGCATTACTCTCAATATCTGAAGCATCAACTGATTTAATGAAGGAGATTCCTTTTGCACAATACACCATAAAATTGATAAGGGATCTGTGTCTTGTATCCCGCCACCCATCACCCATAATTGTACAACCATTTTCTGCCCAGTAACATCTATAAGAATCAACTATAAGTTGTACGGACTGTTTTGCATCTTTCAACAACGTGACACACATAGCATAATATGAAGGCCCCGTGTATCCATGACCCATACTAGCAACTTTGCTCATTGCTATTTGGAAAATGGGAGAATTCACGTCATTCATAGGTATGCAAGAATCATAAAACCACATAGCAAGAGCTAGATCTGTATCATTCCACCTTTTCATACTTTGTAGTGTTGCCTTAATCGATGGTTGAGAAGGATCATGCATACCTCGTGAAAAAAGGTGGCACGGTTTGTGTTTGAGAGGTAGGAGGAGCTTTTCTCTTTCCATCTTTTTTTTGAGTTGATTACTTGATTGTTGGGTGAGTATTTGAACATCATCATCAACATCATATATGTTATCTACATTAACCCCCGCAGTATCACCAAGCACACCGACACGTTTCTCTTTTGTTTTTTTGGCATTATCATCCAATGAACTTTTCATGACAAACTTTATACCTCCTAGACAACCTGTCACTCCAGCAAGGTGTTGTTTCATTCTATTGATACCTCCACCGTTATACGTTTTTTACAAAAAGTACAAAAGTACTCCCATTGATGTGACCAAGAACACGAAAACCAGTGCAATTGGTTTCAAGAGATTTCAAAGTATTTCTTTCGGGCATCATGATTAAGTCGTCCGAAATCAAGGGTTAAGGGAAATAATGTCTTTATATTGTGATTTCATAGGGTTTTTTTAGTGCCAGTAAAGATGTAGAGCAGGTCTATGATGACCGATGATTGTGAGAAGTTCAAGATTCTAGAAGTGTTGGAGTTATTTATTTTTTGGGGGGGAGTTATGATACCATATTAGGTTATAATTTCTTCTTGCATTTTCTATTAAACATCAATATATATAATTTTACAACGGTTTGATATAGACTTATACAAAAAGGCCCAAAATAGGCCCAACTATAATCACGTATAGTTGGATACATATACAGCACTAATAAAAACTAATGACAAATTGAATTATTGCAATAACATATTTCATAACATTATTAATATAATAATTATCTAGAAAACAAATCGTTATCAATTTAGGTTCATAACTGTCACATTTTAAAATACTATGCAATTTAAGAGATCAACCATGTTACAACCTCTATTATCTTAAGGGTCTCAAAAACATATTGAGGATGTAAATTTATTTTGGATCATTGTGAAAATCATAACATGTTTCTTGTCAATTACCGTCTTAAAATTCATACCATGTTCTGTTTTTATAGCTTTCACATTTGGATGGGTGACACTTTGTATGACACCAAAGTTGAAGTTGTATGTTTGCAGCAAATGATTAGTCAGTATGCCAAAAGTTCCTTTTCCATTAAAAAAACGGTTAAGTTGGTTTGCCAAGACAATTTTTTTCTTTTGATTATTTATTATTCCTATGGATTACTTCTCCCTCTGTCACTTTTTGTAGCAACACCACTCTTACAAATATACAACTCACGAAACCATAACATTAAAAAAAATACAAGAAGAAGAAGGACCATATGCCAAAAAAAAAAAAAACGTAGCCCTAACCATATGAGTTATATGACCATCTTCACATGCGATGATATTTGGGATGCGACTTTCTTGATCTTTGTGCATGCCATTCTCATTTGTAGTTCTGTTAAATCAAGAAAAAAAATGCTTTAGATACTTACGGAAGATAAAAATCCAAAAAATATAAAAATACTTTTCTAGTTTAAGGAAGATATATAAATATAATTAACTAACTAGGAACTAATTAATAGTTTGTGTAGTTCAAAGGAAAGTGACATACTACATATATATAGTAATTATGGCTCTGATTCTTGGTAAACATTGCATGCAGAAACTCCTATACTTTTGGAATTCGCATCATATGATGACAGAACCTTTCTCTGCACCCATCAACATCATCATCATCATCATCATCATCATCTTAACACAATATTACATGCTACCTACACTACACTAAACCCACCCCAAGGGCACAGTGGTAAATTCACCGTGAACAACAATTCAAACCAATAGAAATAAATTTGTAACTACAATAGTATATAATATAGGGTCATGAAAAAGGACATAATAGATAATTACCATTGGCTCAAAGTCTGGACTTGATAAGTTCACTGTCAGGTTTCTCATCAACAGTAACACCTCAACATTCAAACCAAAAACAAATTAATAAAGGATCTTTGTTATGTTAAATATACAATCCAACATATCTATGTTACTAAAATAAATCTACCAATCCACTTTTCATTTTCTTTCAACTTTTTGCTTATTGCTGATTTGGCATTAATTTGTATTGCCACATCACACATCATCATTGGTTGGATGCCACATAAGCAAAAAGTTGAAAATCATTAGTACGTTGCTATTAAGAGTAACAAAAAAAAAAAATAAGTGTATAAATCTAATCATTATCCTGACTCACTGTTTCAAAGTTTATAGGATCCATCTCCTTCAGTTTCTGCACATGCCCTTTACTCTCTGGATCAAAAACACTTCCAATAAAGCTATAAACTTCAGAGAAATCCGGTGTACCTGAAGAAAAAAATAACAAAGTTAATTACAAAAATACCTACATCTATATATAAATTAATATATAGACACATGCATGCATATATTAGGAGAAGAAGAAGGGTACCATAGAGGACAGAACCTTGTTCAGAACTTGGCATTTCTCTATTTGAGCTTCCTATACCACTACTCCTTCCTGTCCCCTTCGATCCAGTGTCAGCTGAAATGCAATATAATAACTAAGTGTCAATATCTTATCTTATAGAGTATAATTTTATAAACATGCCTGATATACATATATATTATATATGCAATGAAGAGATGAGAGATTACAAACATGCATGCATGCCTTCATATCCATGGAGATCATATTCAATTTCATCTTGTGGTGGTAAGATTCGACCAGATGGGCTCAAAAGCAGGGAGGTGTCATGATCCCATGGTGAGTATCCAGATGCAAGCCCACTCAGGGAAGATGGATACCCCAATGATGCTTGAAGTGGCAATAAAACTGCCACACGATTAATTAAAGTCAAATTGTGAAAAGATTTTGAAATTTATATAAAACCCACAGCATATCATATATATATATATATAATATATGTTATACTTATGAACAAACCATTTTTGGGAGCTTTTTGTGGATATGGATGTGTGGCCTTGCGTTTGGGGCGAGGTGGTGGAACATGTGCTATTGATCCGTTCTTTTGGACCTTTAGAAAGTACTTTTGGGCATGACTTCGTATCTGAAAAATATCATTAATTACTTTACTACCATGCATCAATTCAATCTTAATTAGGGACATATTGCATTTTTAATTAATCTAGCTAAAATATCTACTTATTTTCAGTTACTCATATTCTATATATATATATATGCACCTGAATTACTGTCTTGGAACCAACAAAGTCTTCGATTTTCTTCCAGTCACGATCAAATCTGTGAATTACAGAAAGAATGATATAATTAAGGAGGTTTAAAACCACTAATCGTCATTTCAATAGATCTTGCTTCATTAGGACTAGCCACATGAAATACACAATCATGGAGTTTCTGAATCCATTTTACTCTATATATCCGTTTAAATTCCTTCTCTATCTTAGTCCCTTCATGCTTTCCCTATTATCAAGGAGGTGAGAGTTCATAAGTAATTAAGCATGGCATCACTAGTGAGATTGTGGCTTGTATATCTCTCTCTGTGTTGGTTAACTAAGGTTTACTTGTTTTAGCCTATCTTATTCACACGAAAAGTATATTTTTACTGTTAAACACTTCATGTAAAATTGTAAATGGTTATAGAAATTGAATTACACATTAAGATATCTTACATTTTTTAGTATCAACATCATCATTAACTACTAGTATCAGTTATTGCCATATTATACAAAATTAATAATTATCGTACTCTAAAGGTACAATAAGCATGATGAAATCAAAAGCAAAAAACCTTGAAGGCTAGAAACCTCCCACGCTCCAGATAAATCAATCGAATCAAACAGAGATGATAAGGATAACTCTTTCACGAATTCAAATCATATGATCAAACTCAACATCGAATCGATAAGTTAAGCGCTATTCAGTTTAGATATTTAAAAAATAAACAATCAAAATTACTAACAATTGAAGAGCTTCAAGGAACTTATCGTGTTCTTCTTCAGTCCAACTCTCTCTGGACTTGGTAATAGTATAGGGCTTCCGTACCTTCTTACCGGAACTGTCCGTCGGCGTCGAATTCGCTGCCATTGACGACGACGACGAAGGCGTAGAGTTTTTATTCGAATTGCTCATCACTATTCTTATGAATGCATAGGAGGATTCCAGAGAGAGAAAGGGAGAGACAGAGAGACAGAGGGAAGATGGCTGTGCAGCGTTTTGCAGTCTCGTCAGTCTGTGTGTGTGCGTATGTTGTGTGGTTCAGGTGATCTGAAGCTGGCGCGTTCAATTAATCGCACCACTTGTTAGACGTTTGTTTTCCATTTTTTGTATTAAGACCTTCTATTTTGATAGATTTGACAAATTTAACCCTAATTTAATCAATTCCCAATTTGGTAACCGATTAGATTCATGTCTCCAGTGAGGAACCCACAACACATTATAATTCTCATATTTAATCATCTCGAATGATTCGTGGTAGTATTGCTCTTTAATGTTTATTTAAAAATATTCTTTTGCCCAATTCTACAGAGTAAAAAATTAAAAAGGTAAAATACAAAAAAATATATAAACAATTTTGTTGTATAATATATAAATATATGTATACAGTATACACCATAGAAATTATAACAAACGGATCAATGTCATAGTGATGGTTTTGTGGAAGGAAGGAGGTTTATAAAATTGTACATGGCTTGACATTTTTGTGGTCTGATATATATGCTCGGGTTTGGACCTCAAATTCGACCTAACATTATATACATAAAATTGTTGATTAAACAATTAAACGTAAAGTTAGTAAAGATAATAATTTATATCCAATCACAACCCAATAAATAACTTTTATCAAAGTTAAAGATAATAATTTATATCCAATCTCAACCTAACAAATAATTTTTATCAAAATTTTATGTGAGACATATTACATACACATTAGATTCTAGGAGTAGTGTCATGGTTATCACCGTGTCATTTTAGATTTTTTCACAGTCACGTCACTACCATATCATTTTTGTTACGCTAAAAGTTCAACATATCATATAAAAAGATTCTTTTCGTTTAATTTAAACAACTATATATTTTATAAAAAAAAATGTTATTTAGATAATTTGATTGTCGACATTATTTCCACTAAGTGGAATCGGTTACTCCCTATCAAAGTAAATGTTTTTCTTTGGAGGTCGTTTTTAAACAAAATTCCTTCTCGGGTAAATCTGGATATGAAAAGGATTAATATTGATTCGTTGTTATGTAGTTTGGATGTCGAGACACTTCATCATCTCTTTTTAACTTGTGAGATGATAGTTGACCTCTGGAGTTTATGTGATTGGTGGGTGGATTTGGATATGCCAATTTGCTCATCTTTTCGTGAATGGGTTGATTGGTTGTCCTCCACTCGGTTGGCACCTAGTATTCGGCAATGTCTTTGATGCAGTTGGTGCAACCTTGATTTGGTTTGTTTGGTACTTTAGGAATCAAAAGCTTTTTAGTCATGAAAAACCGTTGAATCGAGTTTTATGGGATTTTATAGTTTCCCAATCTTTCTTATGTATTACGGCTAGGAAGGCTAAGCGGTGTATAAATTGGTTTTGGTGGTTGCAAAATGCTAGTTTAGCTATTTTCATTAGCTAATTTCTTAGCTTCTTGCTAATTTCTTAATAAAATAAAAAGTTACAACACTTGAAACATAACCTTGACCATGACTTAAAACTTGGCTTACATAGAGGGCTTGAGAGAGGAAATTAATATTGTGAAGGTTATAGTGTGGTAAGAATTTGAGGTTGATATGTATATTTATAGTATTGGAAAAAAAAAATATATTATAAAAAACAGATAGTTTTAAAATAATGATAAAAAATATCATTTAATTTAATTGAAGTAGGTAAAAATGTCAATATGTCATCTCTCTCCTCTCTGTTTCTTTCTCTAGGTCTCTCTCTCTCTTTCTTTCTATAGGTCTCTTTCTCTCCCCCCCCCCTCTCTCTCTCTAGTAGTGGGTTGTGTATCCTCTTTCATCAACATGTCACTATGGTGGAATGATGTTTGACAAACACTTTACTAAGTGTTGAGTCTTATATACATTATTTTTATATTAGGCTATGCGGAGTCGACTTGGCATGAGTGTGGTGGACTCTCGGAGCCTAGACTCGACAAGTATCCATCATCAAGATTAAGACACTTGGTTTTGGGGTATTGATGAAAATAGAAAGATCAAAGAAGATGATCTTCTCTACAAGTATCCACCATCAAGATTAAGGCACTTGGAATGCTAGTTTCCATCTTGTAATCGTGGGTATCTTAAGCCTTTAAGCACTTAACTCAAATAAGAACTAAATGAGATAACTCAAGGAATATTTAATCACCAAACTAGCTTCAAAAGAGAGAGATGTGAAGGGAAGAAGAGTAGTTTCGACCATCATGAAGTAAGGAGCAAAAACTAGCAAAAAAATCATACAAGACACTTCTTTAAATACTCCCACGCAAAGTAAAGCATACCCACTATTTAAACATAAAGTATTAGCTACTAAAGCAAGCATGGGGAACAAGATGATGAAGGTTGACAAACAACCTCTCATGCCTCTAAATTTTCATCCATAAGGATAAGAAAAAGAAAAAAATTTGTCTTCTTCCTCCTTTATATAAATGCATCAAATAACTAGTTAAGACATGGTATCCCAAAGTGTCCAAAACACTTGTACATGTCTTATTAATCATACCATATGATATAATAACTAGTTACTCTCTCGTTAATTATTATTTTCACAAAAACAATAATTATTCCCCAATTAAATACAAGAGTTGATATTATTTATTAATAATCATATTAATAATAAATATACAGAATGTGTCAACTTGATAAAGGTGTGACCCTATAGTATCATATGTTATTAGCAAAATCACTTAATTATGATTCTTGAGCATATAGATCCAACAATCTCCCAGCCTGAGTATCAAGCAGATACGTAAGATAACCTACACAACCATGCTGAATATATTGTCGAGCCTTGGCAGCAGAACAAAAGGTTGGCCCAATCCTGGTATCCTCTCCATAAATAATCAATTCTCCCCCACTTGGGGTTTGAATCACTACCCACTGACCCTCGCAATCAATCATAACCCCATACTTGGTCAACCAATCCATCCCTGCTATCACACATATATCCCCCATGGGGATAGGAATCAAATCAATCGGATAAGGCACCCAAAAAATCTCCAAGACATAACCCAAATAGACGCTCAGTGTAGAAAGCAAGTGTTTGTTGATGATAGAAACCCGCAACGGACATTCCAATTCTCCAAGAGTCATATCAAAACCCCTACTAAAAGAGTAAGATATAAGAGCAGGCAAGGAACTCACTAAGAATGTACCTAGTAGAATCATAAACATAAGCATACCGAAAAACTAAATGATAGAGTAATAAATAGAAACATACCAGTAATGACGTGTAGTGCCGCCATGGCCTCCTCTCTAGTGAGCTGGAAGCATGACCTCGAGCCCTCGGGGGCTCTGCCCTACCCTGTCGCCCATCTGTGATCCTTAAGGTAGCCGGTGTTAGAGCCTATGATGGTTAACAGCGTGTTTCTTGGTCAACAACATGTTTCTTGGTCAAAGCAGAGTATGATGAGCGTACAGCTGGGTATGCCCCGCGTACTCAGTCTGTAGGGTTTAGGAGTTTGGGCTTCAAGTTTGGGCCACCTTTTTGGGCTTAGATGCTTGGACCCTTACTGGACCATCTGAGTATTGGTGTTTTGGGCTAAGTGAAGGGATGAACTTTAGGGTAAGGCCCAAGTAGGAGTTTGGGCCCAATTTGGAAATTTGGGCTAATTATGGGGCTTTAGTGATTGCTTGGTTTTAGACCTTTTGGATCAAGATTTGGGTCTGGGTCTTAGCCCAGCTAGGGAAAGGGTAAAGTAGCCTTTTACCCTAATGATGGACTACTATCTTAGGTTGTAATCATATTATTAATCGGATGATTATTTTGTTGTGATAGTGCGGGGATTTTTAGTGAGCCAAAAGTTGGAAACTTTAACTGCGATTCAACAGTGTGAGGTGAGTTTTCCTCACTATACTTACAGGTCAAAGGCACCAAGGCCGGCCAATTGGTTTGATAACCTAATATTCGTTGATATGTTGAGTATGGAATAGATATGCATACTAGTTTTGTTAAACTGGTCTGGTAGATTTGTAGGACTACCTGTGATACTGTTTGTTTACCAGTGCATGATATTATCTATTATATGTCGACATATTGTTTAGGTTGGGTTGAGGTTGTACTGCTATGTGCGGTAGCCAACAAACCCTAGAGCAAGCCAAATATTAGCTGAGGGCCGGAAAGGGGATGTCAGACTCATACTGAGGGCTCATGAGCATTCCAAATACGAGCTGAGGGCCGGGAAGGGCATGCCAAACTCATACTGAGGGCTTAGTGGTATTCAGTTCGAGGACTGATCTGGTCGGGGAGCAAGCCAGACATAAGTCGTGGGTTGAGGGCAAGCCAGACTTACGATGTGGGCTCATGGATAATCCAGTCTGTATGTTGTGGACCCATTTCATGTTGTTATTGTTTATGTGTTATTTGTTGTGTGTTGGTATTTTTGGGAGAACTCACTAAACTTTGGGCTTACAGTTTTGGATTATGTTTCAGGTGCCTCAGAGGATTGCAGGAAGGCGAATGCGTGATCGTGCACTCCTCGTGTTTGGTTTTGTGATTATGGGCAAACTCTGATAATAGACATATCCTGAAAACTATTTTGTAAACAATTATGATTTTTAGGTTGTTTAAAAAGTTTAAATTTTTCATGAATTTCATGGATGTTACAGATATGAGGTTTGACGCTGATGGAAGGGACGATACTTTAGACTTAAGGATGTTTAAATATAGTTGAAACCCTAAAAATTAGGGTTTAAGGTTCTAGCACATACGCCCAATGTACATGAGCTCCGCCCAATAATTACAAAAATGTCACTACGAGCCATTTTGCAACACTTCTCATACGCAAGGGCTAAAAATGCAAATAATCTTCATTCTTAGGGTTAAAAATAGAAATACCTCATCATCAAGATGTTACAAATTATTTGAAATTATGTAAAATATACTCCAGTTGTTTACATATTCTTTTAATATTATTAAAATAATAAACGTGTTGAAAAAAAAAACAAATCTAAGTTGAATAAAATAATTTAAAGTAAGAAGTGGTTTGAAGATGATGGTTTAGTGTTGCGTCACGCAACACATGCGCATCAGTTTTTAAATTAGAAGTTTTTCAAAAAACAAACAGTTGCAAAAGACCTAATGTTGCGCGGCACAACAAGAAGTTGTCAGAAGTGGTTAGTAGATAGCAAATATATTTTGAAGGCCATGATTTATATGGTTACATTTGCCTAACCATATTTTGATATGTGCTCAGATTGTAAACATAAAAAAGATGCTTAGTAGATAGCAAATATATTTTGAAGGCCATGATTTATATGGTTACATTTGAATTATGTTACGATATTGAAATGTCACCTCTGCTTTTATATTGAATTGTCACATTTGCTCTTAAAATTCATAACTTTTGTCTTCGGTATTTGGGAGTGTATCGCCGTTTTTCGCTCTTAAAAATTCGTGACCTTTATCTTTGGTATTTGGGAGTGTATAGCCATTTTTCATTTCCAATTCTTTATTCTTGCAATT